AAATAATTATCCAGTTTTTATTATCATAAATAAACTTTTTCATCTACGGGATTTTTTTTTTAAATTAATATTTATATACGTTTTGAAAGATATTTGTTTGTAAATTTCGAAAGTATTGTTTTTCCTGACGGATTAAATGTAAAGTGAAAATCCGTTAGTTCATGGCTTTCTAAACATCCTTATTGATCGATTACATATTAGTAAGAAAAATTCCTATAAAAAAAAAAAAAAAAAGATTTACATAATACAAGCTGTGTATAATGAATATAACGTTGTCGATATTAAATTGCTTTGTTTTTAAATAAAAAAATCACAAAATTTGGCTTATTTTTGGCACTCTATTGAATTATAGTAATAATTGCAAAATGTTAGGACTAGTAATACACACTACAAATAGATATAAGTCTTTATCGATAAAACATTTAATGCATAATAATGTTTTTAATTATATCATACCCAATTATAATTTTATTACAACTATATTTTAAACTTGCATAACACAATACACAAAAATTATTTGTATTTATTATCAATATAGACCTATTGTTCAATTTCAAACGAAAATTCCATTATCTTTAGTACAACTGTATGCTTTATATTTGTATATTATGTCATAAATCATTTCACTACACTATTTATGTTATTTTAATTTAGCGCTGCAAAATTATTGTGCAGCAAAAACAATTGATAAACTGTAATAATATTTTAAAGATGATATGGCTATTAAACCATATTAAAAATAATAAAAATATTAAAAATTATAAATATAAATTTTATAATAATTAAAATATGTAGCGAATGAATATTAACATTAAAATCTAGATCATGAACTATGACATTAAGGATAAGATCTAAGAAATTTAATAACATATAGTACAATTGTTTCACGTCAAGAGGTTAAAATTGTTAAAATTGAAATTAATAATTATTGACGATATTCAAATGGTTTATAAAGATGTTTATAAAATAAAAAACAATGTCAGGTCCACTTATTCATGCTCTTATTAAAGTAATAATTTATTCAATTCATTATTCTGTCAATAATCATTCCAATTCACCATTAAGTAATATGTATCATTTGCTAACTAAAGTATTTCCAGAAAAATAAATAGAATTGCCATTTAGATTTACATATAAAATGTCTTTAAAACATTATAACGAGTGAAAATTTCATTATTATAATTCTATCTTGGATATTGCCGAACTTTAGAGGTCGTATACTTGGGTTTACGTCGTACAAGTTTTGTTGACTTCAATTCTAATTTATTCTTATCATAATGTGAGTTATGAAAAGAAAGAACATATTGAAATTGGCAGAGTTGCATAACTTTAATTACGAATATGATAAAAGAAAAACTATACACGAACACAATTGTAAAAAAAAAATCAAAATAATATAGAGCAACAAGTATACGTTCATGTACGCGTGCGGGCGTCAGATGTATTTATAAATCTTTCATAAATTTTATCATGTAATTTCACGTTTCAAACAATAATGTGACGTATAAATCAAATTGTAATGATTTAGCCAACTTTCAGATGTCGTTGATGATGTGTGCGCGAATGTGTGTACGCGCGCGCCCGCGCCCGAATGCGTATGAGTAATCAAGTTTTAATTCCATTAGCGAATATACAGAAGACACCATATTATTTCTCCTATATAAAATAAACAAACAAATAGTAAAGTATATAATTCATACACGGATAATGGATATTATATTGATACAGAATAAACGTTATAAAACGCTTTAACGCTTATGTAAGGATAAAAATTTTCTTCCAACGATAATATCCTACGGTATTAGAATTCACGACAAAGTTTTTAAATCGAGTAATCGAGGTATAAAACAAAAGAGGAAGAGCAAGAAGAAGAATAAGAAGAAGAAGAAGAATAAGAATAAGAAGAAGAAGAAGAAGAAGAAGAAGAAGAAGAAGAAGAAGAAGAAGAAGAAGAAGAAGAAGAAGAAGAAGAAGAAGAAGAAGAAGAAGAAGAAGAAGAAGAAGAAGAAGAAGAAGAAGAAGAAGAAGAAGAAGAAGAAGAAGAAGAAGAAGAAGAAGAAGAAGAAGAAGAAGAAGAAGAAGAAGAAGAAGAAGAAGAAGAAGAAGAAGAAGAAGAAGAAGAAGAAGAAGAAGAAGAAGAAGAAGAAGAAGAAGAAGAAGAAGAAGAAGAAGAAGAAGAAGAAGAAGAAGAAGAAGAAGAAGAAGAAGAAGAAGAAGAAGAAGAAGAAGAAGAAGAAGAAGAAGAAGAAGAAGAAGAAGAAGAAGAAGAAGAAGAAGAAGAAGAAGAAGAAGAAGAAGAAGAAGAAGAAGAAGAAGAAGAAGAAGAAGAAGAAGAAGAAGAAGAAGAAGAAGAAGAAGAAGAAGAAGAAGAAGAAGAAGAAGAAGAAGAAGAAGAAGAAGAAGAAGAAGAAGAAGAAGAAGAAGAAGAAGAAGAAGAAGAAGAAGAAGAAGAAGAAGAAGAAGAAGAAGAAGAAGAAGAAGAAGAAGAAGAAGAAGAAGAAGAAGAAGAAGAAGAAGAAGAAGAAGAAGAAGAAGAAGAAGAAGAAGAAGAAGAAGAAGAAGAAGAAGAAGAAGAAGAAGAAGAAGAAGAAGAAGAAGAAGAAGAAGAAGAAGACGAAGAAGAAGACGAAGAAAGAAGACGAACGAATCATCGTTAATGAGAGATACAACATTTTATAAAATGGGCGTAAATAGAAGAAGAAATTTATAAAAAGACGTAAATAAAAGCCCGAGCGATTAATTCAATTGATTGGGTAATTCTAATGATGAACGTTAGAAGGTTAATAGAGGTAAAAGGCAAGGTTCATCGTTATTAGAGCAAATACTAGAACTATGTATTTTGTATTTAGAAAAATGTAAAGAATTAAAGTAATCATTAGTCAGGCACCGAAAGAATTTCACGATTTACCGTCAATTATTTCGGATCGTTAAAATCTTACGGATAAAGCACATCGAAGATCAGCCACAGCATGAGATCGCGGATAATGGCGAAGGATTTCTTTCCTCCCAAGCTCGTGTGATCCGATCGCGCCGCGTAATTCCCTAAATTAATTTCGAGACGGGCCGCGGCTGAGGATATGCCACCCCAAGCCCCAGCTTACGTACTACATTACCGACGGAGCCGGGGAGACGAGACTCGCGGCCCGTCGGTGTCGTCGTCGTCGTCGTCGTCATCGTCGCCCGAATCCGCCAGTAAAGCGCCACTGAGGCTCCAGTGCTGCCAGCATGCGGAAGCGGAAGTCGGCCGGCTGACGTCAACGGCGACGCCGCTTCGCCTCCGCGGCTCCCTCCAAAAGCGCGGGCCAATTGGCAGCACTGGCCTGGGACCACCGCGCACACGGTACACGGTGGGATAGTTTACAAATAAAATGGCCGATAGAGAGAGGCTATTCCGCGCTGTGCAATAAAAATGTGCCCGACGAGGAGGCAGCAGAGGCAGCAGCAGAGGCAGCAGCAGCAGCACCAGCAGCAGCATCAGCACCAGCACCAGCAGCACCAGCAGCACCAGCAAACACAGAGCCAGAAGCAGAAGCTGAACGAGAGAGAGCGAACGTCGAGGTAGCGCGCATCGTCGCGCGCTGCACCCCAACGCGACGCGTCCGCCGACGCGAGAGTGAGCGCGGCCCGAATACAGGGACGGAGACAGGGTGCGAGTGGTCGTTGGAGGATTGCACAGAGAGCGGTGGGAAGCTAGGTAGAGCGACCGGAGCCAAGCGAGAGCGGAGCCTAGGGGCGCTAATTGCCGCCAGCAGCAGCATCGCAACCGCCGTCGCTACCGCCACCGCCGCCGCCGCCGCCGCCGCCGCCACCGCCACCGTCACCGCCGCCGCCGTTGCCGTCGCCGTCGCCGTCGCCATCTCCACCACCGACGTCTTTGCCTGTGTGGCTGCGCACGCACGCGCACGCACACGCGAGACGACGGAAAGAAAGAGAGAGTGCGAGCCCGTGGGCCGGAGTGGGAGAAGGAGCGAGGCTAACGCGCGAGTGCCCTCTCTCTCTCTCTCTAGCCCGCGCGCGCTCTCGCCCCGGGGACCGACTACCGACTGCCCCCTGTGTGTGCGTAAGTGTGTGTCGTCGTAATCGTCGCCGTCGTCGTCGCCCTCAGCGTCGCGCACCCCAGGACCCAAGAGGGCCGCTGCCCTCATCGAGGAACTCGTACGAGGGTTCGCGAGTGCCGCGCGTCGCCACCTCCACGGCGACGGAGCCCTGGCCCCGGAAGAGTCGCGCCTTAACCTCGCCATAGCCGCTGCAGCCGCAGCCGTAGTCTCCGCTGTGGGAGCACCCTCGACAAGCACGAGCCGACGAGCTACACCGAGGGAAACCAACCGACCGAGAGCTAGTGCCTGGGAGAGAGGAGGAGGAAGAGGAAGAGGAGGAGGTGGCGGAGGAGGAGGAGGAAGAGGCGGTGGAGCAGCAGGAGGAAGAGGAGGAGGAGGTGGAGGAGGAGTAGGAACAGCAGCAGCAGCAGGAAGAGGCGGGGAAGGAGGAGGAGGAGGAGGTGGTGGTGTTAGTGGAGAAAGAGGAGGTAGAGGAGAAGAAGAAGAAGAAGAAGAAGAAAAAGAAGAAGAAGAAGAGAAACGTAGCGCGTTGTTGTTGAGGACGCCCTCGTTACCCCCGGGTGATATCGGGAGGTCGAACTCCCGGGGATAAACGGCCGGCGTCGAGAGCGCGCGCGTGCAGACCCGCTCGCTTTGTCAGTGGCCGCGACCGCGTTGAGGCTCCGTCGAACAGTCGAATCCGTTTATCTTCCTTTGCTATCGCGATCAGCGGATTTCCCCCTCCCGCCGCGTGCCGCGCGCAAGTGTAAGGGGCCGCTGATAGCGCCGTCTCGCTCGCTCTCCACGACCACACACTCGTAGCTGAAGCGCGTACACGCCGACAGATCTCTCTCCTCGTGTTTCCTCTTTTCACTTTCGTTACCGTCTGCCCGTGGAGACGTTGTTGATCTTTAAGGTTAATCGCGTCGCGAGCGCCGCCGCCGCCGCCGCCGACGACGACAACGACGGCGACGTCGACGCGAACACGTTCTCGCGAGGAGCGGAACTCGAATGACCGACCGCCTCGGGCTCGGGGACTCGGCCCTCTCTCTGTTTGTTTGGCGGTGAATGTGGGGAGGGGAGATCTCGCGATAGGACACTACACCTTGTGCAACCGCGCCGCGGTGCTTTTGCCTCCGTTACATTTTGAATTTTGAACTCGATAGTGCCCACGCGTTGTGTAATTGGAGGACATCGAAGTTACGCGAGGGACAGATATGATCTTCGCCGTCAACGAGCCTGAAATTTGGGATAATAGAGCGTGACACATATCTTGCTCTGGAGCCGTTAAAGATATTCCCCGCTGACCAGTTCGTCATTGTGGAGCAGGTGGTTGGCCCTGAAGATGTGTTGACTACCGATAGTGAAGAGCCCACTGTCACTACGGCTAGTAATCAGGCCAACACCTCGATCACCACTTTGACGAACATGTGCACCACACCTGGGAACACTGGTACTGGGTTTGGCTATGCCACATGGTCATTCAGCGGCCCCGGGAATGATAGCCGGGAAAACACGCAAAGCGATATTGCTGGCACCATCAGTTACGCAGCGGTCAACAATAATCAAGATCAGGGATCCAGTCCTAAGATACAAATTGATGTTAAGCCAGCCAAGATACAAAATAGTTCGCACCGAAGAACCATGTTTACTATGAACGAAAGTTGTCAGCAGACGCCTACCACTACGCATCATGGTCACACGACGGGAGCTCATAATCAAACGACTCATGTAACGCACGTTAGGTCAAAGAAGCACCACGACGTCTTTGCGTTAACCTGCGACAAAGGTGGATGTAACTGTGACGCTCATCACTCCACGCCACCGCCATCTCTGTTCCCTAATACGTTAGTTTTTGCTACAGATAAGCACACCATGAGCAAGCACTTCATGACCCCCATAGGTCCTCTCCAACTGACGGCCGAAGAGTGCAACGAAATCCTTATGAAGAGAGCGGCAGCAGCTTCCAATCAGTCCAACTCCAATAACGTGGCATCCAGTCAAACGGATGCCAGTGCTCATTTCGGCCATGTTCTCACTCATGTAAATACAACCCAGATAGATATTAAACCTAAACAGGATATGGGTTCCCAAGTTAGAGTACCCAAGGAGAGGCCATATTCCTGCACAGAGTGCGGAAAATCCTTTTTATTAAAGCATCATCTCACTACACACGCGCGAGTACACACAGGAGAGCGACCTCACATTTGTGTACACTGTGGCAAGAGTTTTGCGCACAAACATTGCCTCCATACTCATCTCCTTCTTCATAGCGCCGAAAGACCCTATCAATGCAGAGAATGTAAAAAGTCCTTCACGTTAAAGCATCATCTGGTAACACATACCAGAGTCCATACGAGAGAACGACCATTTGTCTGCCCTGAATGTGGTAAAGCCTTTCCTTTAAAACGTCACCTGGTGACGCACAGTAAATTCCACACAGGAGAACGTCCCTTTGTTTGCGAAGAGTGCGGAGAGTCGTTTGCCCAGAAGGAACACTTAACCATGCACTCGCGCTTCCATGGCAGTTTGCATCCGTTCGTTTGCCCTGATTGTGGCATGAGCTTCCAGAGAAAGTTTGAACTGGTTAACCATGGCCGCCTGCATGGTAGGATACCGCACTCCTGTACAGTATGCGGAAAAGAATTTCTGCAGAAGAGAACCCTACTGGCGCATATGCGGCTACATACTGGCGAGACACCGTTCGCCTGCACCGTATGTGGAGAAGCTTTTCCAAGGAAATGTGATTTAATAGCTCACTCCAAGATTCACAATAATAGTAATTCAGACTCGGAAACAAAACCATTTATGTGTCGGTGAGTGTAGCGCACTTTCAATGATTATTTTCCCCCGATGTATACGGCTTGCTCATACCTAGTAACTTTTACTTTACAGAGAATGCGGACTAGAGTTTAATAACAGAGAAGCCCAGACATTGCATTTAAGGTTACATTCGGCAGATAGAACACTCGTGAACGATCTTTGTGGACTGGCTGCAACATTTCAGCAAACAACTGGACACTTTCTTACAGCTAATACCTCCAGTGCTCATCAGGTAATTTTTGTTCATATTGCAGTAATCGGGTGTGACTTAAGCTAAAATTACATCAAACAATCATTTTCATGAATTTTATGTATTGTTCGTAGCTACAATGCTTTATCCAAAAAAAATAAATATCACTCGTATGATAAATGTAAGTTTTCAATGTACCCAACAGAATTAATATGATTAATATAATTACGATTTATCTATTACTGATATGTGCTTATTTTAAAGATTTACTTTCACCAATGAGGTGTACAAAACAACTGAGTATTCTGTAAATAATAGCTTCTATATTAGTCCGTATTTAATAGCTTTGAAGGTAATGTAAATACGTTGCAAAAATTAATTCAAATTTATTGAGAAATTCATAATATTGCCATTATCTTTCTTGAATTTACATTGATCTCTATAGTTTATGATAATTGGTTGATAAAAAGAAAGTAACGTTTCATTGACTAATCATATCGGACTCATTATTTAACGAACGATTATGCCAAAATATCTTATTACGATAAACTTGTAAATCCATTAATCAGATGATTTTTTAAACGGCCGTTACAGTTAAAAGTGAATTCAAATGTGTTGCAATTACTTTTCTATTTAGCAAATGAAAGAGTTTCTAATTCTAGAAGTACTAATAACCAAATTTGTGCAACCAATGTAAGAGATTTCATTTGAAATAATCAAGAACTTCTTGAAAGTTTTATTACCAATAATTAATACATAATTAATAAGAATCATTTACCTTATACTTTTGTTTTCCGTACAAAAAAAAAGCAAATCTAATTAAAAGCTATTGATGTTATTTTAGATAAAAATTCTAATATAAATTATTATACAGCGCTTAAAATATGATTAATTATAGATTTTTATTAAAATTATCATCTATAAGTAAATCAGTTGTAGCTACTTTGTATGACATATTTTTACAGTTATCTTAACAATTCATTAAAATTATTCATTATAAACAGTTGCTGCATATTAATAAAAACAACAATATTGGACAATAGCATCGTACTTGATAAAAATGTAATAAAATAAAGCTTATGATCATCTCTAATAATTAATTATCTGTAATAATTATAAATTAACTGAGTGTTAATTTTGCAGACCGATTATTCCTATAATTCATCAAGATGAACATGACTTTTCTTTTATCGAAGAATCGATTGTATATTTAATTTGTACAGGATCAGCCAAATAATTGGATTGATTTTATTGTAATGATTTTAATTTATAAGGGACGCGTTATTTTCAATATAGAGTAAGAATTGACAAGACATTATTATGTTTATAAGTTTATTTGTCTCTGGAGTAAAAAGACATTTGATTATTCGACCATTGACAATAATGTCTAATCCAAAAGACAATGAAACTTGCAATTTTGGCAACAGAGATTTTACGGAATATTTTATTATTAATTAAATAATAGTAATATATCCAAGGAAGCTCTGTACAAGGCCTCGATAAAAGCAAACTGGCATTTTAAAAAGTTCAGCTTATTTTTATCATTGAGAAACTTAAGTTAGAAATGTATAAAGTAATACGACCAAAGAAGGGTTATCAATAATGAGAAAAGAAGGCGTTGAGGATTATCCCAGAGTGAAAAGTGACGCGAGTAAGGCGTGAGGCGCAATAAGCCCTTTATCGATAACCCTCTTGGGCTTAATTCCCCACGATTAATGAATCACAATTTCTAATAGTCGAAACATTCGTAGATGAACGGACCGCTGGGCTCATCGGCCTCTAGCGTCAGCCACATGCACGGGGCCACGCAAACGTCGCCTCCCGTTGGCGCGGGCCCCAAGCCAAAGCCCCACGTTTGCCCGGACTGCGGCAGGGGTTTCGCCCAGAAGCACGGACTCTCGCAGCACCAGCGCCGACACACGGACGGCAGCTGCCACATTAGGTCCCACGTGTGCGACAAGTGCGGCAAGGCCTTCTTCCAGAAGAATCACCTGTTGCTCCACCAGCGCCAGCACATGGATCCACCACCCAGTATACTGCGGCAGCAGCAGCGACAGGCGGCCCAGGCTGCGGTCCAGGCAGCCCAGCAAGGTGGCGGAGGAGGTGGTGGCGGCGGTACCCAGGTGATCACGGTCGAAGGCCAGCAAGGCTGCACCGTCGACACCAAGGCAATCGCCCTGCAAGCGATACAGCAGGTACAGCAGCAGCAGCAGCAGCAGCAACAGCAACAGCAACAGCAGGCGACGCAACAGCAGCAGCAACAACAACAACAACAACAACAACAACAGCAGCAGCAGCAGCAACAACAACAACAGCAACAACAGCAGGCGTGTTCCGTGGACACTAAAGCAATACAATTGAACGTCACCATATGAGACGATTTTACAAAGGGGGATGATGATCGTTGGCGAGTTGATCCCAAGTCGTTAGCGCACCCACACCCGCTGCCACCACCGAACCCTCTGCACGCACTTTTCTTGTACTAACAATAACACAATAGTTATATTTATTATCTCTAGATTTCAACTATGATGAAGTAACCGATTTTATTACAAGACAAGAGTATATATACATGAAGACAACAACAAAAAAAAAATTATACATATTCTAAGTATGTAAGGCTTGTAACAAGAAAATAAAAGTAACCATATATTAGTGTTTTACATATACTTTATATATATATTATATATAAATAAATATTTACTTTAGATACGTAAAAGTGGAGGATGACGATGATCGTAACGCGAGTGTTGAATATCATTTTCAGTCTGCTACTGCTCTGCTATACTGAATTTTGCGAAAACTGATCATAGAGAGCCATGCCAAATATTTATGCTCTGTTCAAATCTGTGCTTCGTGCTCCATTTGCCTCAATCGACAATGTCCGCAGGTGGACCGATATTATTACAATTCTGTAGTCTTGTACAATTACGAATGAAGATTAATACTC